AGGTCTCCCACAAAAGCCTTACCTCTCAGCTAAAAGTCAGACTGCTGGAATCCTCACTGTGGATAAAAGTGAATCCACACGAATCCTAGAAGGCTTTACAACTTTTGGGTTAAATAATCACATGTGATGAATGAGTAAGATGTTTAAATGAAATGTTTGAATAACCTGTGCTTAAATCAATGCATTTGAAATGAAAATTGTTCTTACAATGATCCATTCATATCACAAATCACTATATGTTTGATTTAACAAGTTAATCATTGCTTACACTCACACACATCTTCATAAGATAAATATTAAAGTTAAGGTTCACCTCACATAACATTTAAAGATTTTTTTATTCACAGAATTAAGAATCTTGTATCCAAAGGAAGGCGTGGCTTTCTGAGGAATGTGTTGGTAAAGCCTTCCAGACACTGCACATTCTGATTTGCCAGAATGGCCGGAAATCATAACATTGTGGTTTAATTAAACAGGATTTACTTCCCGATTGATTCAGTTTCTAGCTGAACCTCGATACGGCCAAATTGGGAAAGAAGCCTCTTTTTACACAATCTCCTTTGACCTTAAGTCAAAGCCTCTCTGCAACGCTGCAGCTGATACCAGACAACCGGCTCTTCCAAGAGCCAAACAATCATCAACCAAAGACCAAAGCATTCCAGCTTTCGGCTTTCACCTCGAGGTATCTCAGACTGGACGGGTCCTATCGGAACTATCTATGGGTTCCTAAATGGGCTGGTCGTCTCTTAAAAGGCTTCACTGAAAATTCATGCAAAAGAAAATTTACTGCATTGTTACAACCCATGTGTCTAGGGGGCCTGGGGTAACATGGAGGACGTGTGACACAAAGGAAAATTAACAAAGGTTTTATTTTCTTTTCTCTTTTTTTGTCTTACTCTAGAAAATAAACCACCATGGAACAAAAACATTTAACCAAAACAGGCTCAAACACTAAAATGTAACTTAACAAGGACCTACTCTAAAGAGAGCACAAAATCTCAAAAAGGTAACGGATTACCCTTAAAGCTTTTTTCTTCTCACTATTCAATATCAAAGCCCTAAGTGGGAGACAACAGACCAGAGGAAAGGCAGCTCTGCACTATTGTCCCCATTGGTGAGGAGCTCCAGCAGGTTCTTTAAGCAATCAGCGGCTGATGAAAATCCAGCTCAACTGGTGCAGGGAGGAACAAGGGTGAGCAAACAGGCCATGCAGGCATGCTCCTCAGATGCAGCATAAATGAGAACAAAAAAATTCACTGAAAAATGAAAACACAACACAAAAAGGATCCATCCATAACATGCATATAGGTGTCATTTGTTTTCATGATGTTTTTGCTAATTTAGTAACCTGTAATTCTGGGCGTTGCTTGTCTAGGTGGATGTTTCTTTTCAAGAATTCTTTTCTAACCCATTTGTGCTAATTAGTTTCTGTCCAGCTAATCAGCAATGCAGCTGATTAGCTGATTGCTGTCACCCAAACATGCCTACATAGATAGATGATAGCATATCAACAACAAGGGTGACAACTTGCTGGCATGCTACCCCACCCACGAAGGACCTATAAAAGACGGACAGCACTGCTAGGCAGACTCAGACGTATGTTTGTGTCTGTCTCTGCCTCTGCACAGGTTCTGACCAGTTCTTGGCTCTTGGTAAGATAATATTTTACTACCACATTATCTTGTAGATTTGAGACAGAATTTAGAATTTCTATTCTGGTTGTTCATTGCAGACTCTAATTGTTCATTAAGGTGTGGAACACTGAAAAACACTTTTTTGATGAATTTCTTTGATTATAATCGGTCAGTCCGAGTTTTTCATGCAGGCTGAAGATGAAAACAGTCTTATGATAGGGAATAGACGGTGAAATACTAGGATTTGACAATTCTCACATATCTGTGTCACACTGAATTTGCATTCATGGCCTAGCCCATCTTGGCTTGTGCCCGCCCACAGGAAGGCTTTTTATTTATTAAATTGCAGCAAGGAGAGAGAGTGTCTTAAGCTGTTTTTGAAGGACCATAGCATTTGCAAAATGGGATTTGCCACGGCTCCCTGGGGAGGATTTAGGCCTTTATAGTAGCAAAGCTGAAGCTAGCATAAACTGCCATCAGGCACCTCTCCAACCAAGACGGGATATGGGAGATCGCTGCCCCCCCCCCCCCCCCCCCCCCCCCCGCATGTGACGTACAGGGTTGCGCGTTCAGTATCAGACGGAAGACACGTCAGACTGATGAAATTTCTTTTTCAGGACCTTTTGCTTTGATGTGACCTGCTTTTTGTCCCGCTTGACGCCCCGCCCAGCCAGTGTTTTCACCACTCTGTCGAACAGCTGGCTGTCTCTCACCGTCCCCGTAAAAAGGCAACTAATCTGTTCGCCCGCTCGCACGGCCAAAAGCTCCATGGTCTCTCCGTCCGTCCCGTTTGCCATGTTGTAGGTTGTTGAAAGATACTAGTGAGAGGCCATTTTTATCTATGTTTGTATCCCTTCCGGTCGGCACTTGGCGTGCAGTATACGTCACTAACGCGACCACCCTCTTTTGCGGTGGGACCTCCCACAGTTGCTCCAAAGGGATTAGCGGGGCTGACACGCGTTTAGCCGTCAGAGGTGAGGGGCTCATGTGGCAATATTACTACGAGGCTAAGCGCATCAGAATCAAGTTTTATCACCTTTCCTCTTTGCTCCTTGCCCTATTTACGAGACCCACAAATTTGGATTTATCACTCTGTAATGACGCGATGGTCTGTCTTATAAAAGAGGCTTTAGTGATACCGATTTAGCAACACAGCTGAACATGTTCTTTTAGCCAATCAGAAGTGAGGTGTATGCATGTCATTAATAATAATGAGTAATCTGGCTGTTTCCAGCCCACCTCCGCACCAGGAAAACTTCTGCATCTCAGAACAGGAGCAACATAGCTTTTTTAAATGACTCATGGGGCATTGATTTACATTAGAGAACACTACAGATGTATTTAATAAACTAGTAAACCACACCTTTAAACAATATTTTGTAAAAAAGAGAATTCAATAGTTAAGATTTTCCTCTTCTGCAGTCTGCAAAACAGCAGGAAAACCAGTTCAGTCTCATTTGCCTATTTACCTATGGTTGTATCACACAGATTAGTGTTTTCATAAGTCACCAACAAGGATAAAAAACTTCACCAGGAGTCACCTTGCACCTCACCGAAGACACCATGAAAGCTGTTGCAGCCTTGTTGCTCCTGCTGAGTTGCTTATCTAACTGTCATGGTAGGTTTTCACCATGATGCATACAATATTTCAGAATTAAAAAAAACATGTTTCTGTATTGTTAAGATTTTGCTTCTCTACAGGATGGACCTGCACAGCCCCCCCACAGCAGCCTTCTGCTGCACAGATTGATGCTGGACAAGGACAAGTGGTGATGACAGACAGCTCATCAAACGCGTATTTCTTGAGTGGATCAGGTTGGTCCAAACTGGGCACTGTTCCTCTCATTCATGTCACAGCCGGACCTGCAGGAATCTGGGGAGTCGACTCGTCAAATAACATCTACAAGTTTGTAGGAGGAGACTTTGTTTCTGTTGATGGTGAGTCATTTAATAAACAAATGTTACAGTTTAAGCTACACAAAGTGAATCTTTTTAAATGTTTGTTGAATTTTTTGTCAGGTTTATTACAGCAGGTGGATGCTGGAGGTAATGAACAGATAGTGGGAGTGAACAGTGCAGACAACATCTTTTGCCTTAAAAGTAGCATCACCTTGGCCTATCCACAACCTGGTCCAGTGGCCTGGACACCGTTTGACGGGTCGTTGACGTATTTCAGCTGTGGACCAAATGGATGCTGGGGAGTGAACTCCGCTGATAACATCTATGTCTCTGTAAGCTCTTCTATCTTTACCTCAAGGCAGCATTGTTCTTATCACTGATTATGACCTCTGACTACATGTTATTTTTCCAATAGAACGTGAATCCATCTACCTGTAGTAAGACTAGATGGACACAGGTGCCAGGATCAGCAACACTGGCTGAAGTTGGAACTGATGGGAGTGTCTTTGTGGTCAATTCAAATGGTGACGTCTTCCAAAGGTAAATCTGCTTTGAGATATCTTTGTTACTCTATCAGTGTATGAACATTAATCTTACCCAGTAAAACGTGTTCGCCACAAATCCAAAAATACTTTGAGGACTGCTCTATTTAATTGACCACTGCTGTCCCTCCACATCTTCTGTCTCCATAATAGTTACTCAAAAAAGGATACGTTGGGTGTACATCCTCGTCTGAAAGAAAGAAAGAAAGAAAGAGAAAGAAAGAAAAATAACAATCTTTTCTAAAGCGCCCATCAAGATAAAAAAAAACTTTTATATATGAAAAGTATTTTTAAAACAATATTAAAAACTTTGGTTAAAATAAAAAAATAGTTTGTGATTAAAAAATGTAAAGAAAGGGAGAGATAAAATGAATAGGAAAGAGGGAAATCAGTGTGTTTGGAGGACTTGGTGAGAAGACTGAACAAGAGAACTGACATGAGAATCCAGGGTGAGAGCTGGGTCAAAGGTCACATCAAGATTCCTGACAGAGGCTTTGGTGTGAGAAGCAAGCTGACCAAGAGAGTCTCTGACATTGGGAACCAGCTTGTCTGGCGCACAGATGATGATCTCAGTCTTATCTTCATTCAGCTGTAGAAAGCTCCCAGCCATCCAGGTTTTGATAGAGTCTAAGCAGATGTGTAACAGCTGCAGCTTAGACATCTCATGGGGCTTGAAGGGCATGTACCGTTGGATGTCATCGGCATAAAGACGGTAGGAGATTCCTTTGAAGGAGCTCAGGATGTGCTGAAGAGGGAGCAGATAGAGGAGGAAGAGCAGAGGCCCCAGCACAGAACCTTGTGGGACACCATGGGTAAGGGAGGTGGTGGAGGACTGACACTTGGAGACGGCCACTGAGAAAGCACTCTCAGACAGCTAAGAGGAGAACCACTCAAGAGCAGATCCTGATAGGCCTACCCAGTCTCTCAGCCTCTCCAGTAGCAGTTGATGGTCAACAGTGTCAAAGGCTGCAGTCAGGTCCAGCAGGACCAGAACAGAACAGTCCCCTGCATCACTGTGAGTCAGAAGGTCATTAGAGACCCTAAGAAGAGCTGTTTCAGTAGAATGAGCTCTATGAAAACCTGATTGGAAACCATATGTTATGTTCATCAAGACCAACTGTGAGTTGCTTAGGCAAAGCAAGGCAGCTTTAGTTGTATAGCACCTTACAACAGCATAAAACTGATGTAAGTGCTTCACAGTAATTAAAAACTTTAAAAACAATACACAACATAAAATTGCATAAAAACTAAAGCTTAAGAACAACACTAAAAAGACTCTAGCCACATCGTTTTCCAAGATCTTGGAGATGAACGGAAGTTTAGAGATGGGTCTCAAGCTTCTATGGAGAGAGGCGTCAAGACTCGTTTGTTAAGAAGCGGGTGGATTACAGCATTCTTAAAGTAAGCAGGGACCTGACCAGAAACCAGAGAAGCATTAATAATGGAGAGCATGCTGGGACAGATGGACTGGAAAGCACTTTTAAACAAAGATGAGGGTAAGATGTCGAGGGGGCATGCAGAAGTCTTCATAGAGAGTTTTGGGGAGTGATAAGTATTTAATCCTTGTTCCACGTAATATTTTAAAATTCTGATTCTTTTTCCTTTTAAAGTGTTAAATATGTGATACAAATTTAAATCTGGGAACTACTTCGCCAGTTAGCCAAAATGTTGATGCAGATAAATCTGGAGTCTTCCTTTAGTAATGAAGTATGTAGGCGCCATCTAGTAGACGGTTTTGAGGTTTTCCGATATTTAATGATGACACAGATGCATGATCACTTATGTCAATTGGTTTGAGTATTGTTGAAACCTGAAGAAAGAATATGATGATTTTACATATTAAAAGACCCTATTCTAGAAAACTATTGATGTACTGTTGGCAAGTGAAGACACTTTTGGATTTTTGGATGTGAAACTCTTGAACAATTGCCTCAACCAAATTTGTTTATATTTTGATTTATTTTGTCTGTTGATTTCCAGTTTTGTATTCATTGCTTGAATGATCACTTACAGAATCAAAACTGTGTTCATATCTTTTCCTATGATAATTAAAAGCAGTCTAGTAATAAAGTAAAAAGTTTGATTGAAGCCATTTATTTTGACTATAGATGTTGTAGCTGTGATAATCGCCTCTCTTCTCGGTCGGTAGTGACTAAATGTTTGTGAATCAGTACATCCAAACAGAGACCTCTCTCTCTGCTGTTGTATGCTGAAAATAATTTGTTGTATGAACTTGATATCATCAGGGTTTCATTGTCTTCTCTTTACAGAACTGGCATCACCAGCAGTCTTCCACAAGGAAGAGATTGGGTTCAGATACCGTTTTGTCTGCCCGTCAAACACGTCAGCTATGACCTGGGACACCTGTGGGTTGTGTTTGAGATTGGTTTGATCCTGGATTGTCAGCAGTAACATGTTAGCTGTCCTCACTAAAGTCTTTTCTTCAGTAGTGGCCTTTATATGAAAATAAAACCCATTATCTTCTTGGTGTTTTCGTAGCTTGACCTCTACCTTTTCTTTTTATTCTAACAGTGGTAAGAATTATGGTGGTGAAATAAATGGTTGTTTTAAACGATTAATTAAAATGTGACCCAAAAACCCTGTTGGTTTCATGAAATCTCATTTCCTAACAAAAACATGGTTATTACTGCCATGTTGTGAACACTTAAAATGGAAACAAAGCATTTAATTACATGAGGTACCAAAACCAATGACCTTTCTAGCAGGATCTATTTAAGCCCCGTTCACATGGCTGGATAATCATGCCAATTCTTGATATAATCCTCCCCTTCCAATAGTCTCAAGGATGAGCAAGATTACAGCAATGGTGCTAAAGATTATCTCATCAGATAATCGTGCCATTTGTGGTTTCTTAACAGTGCATGGTCTGTTTGTAGGGACATAGGGGCTGCTCCATTCATAAATCTGGGCTTGTTGAATTGACTTCATCTGATTCCTGCGGACAAACAAGGATGCTACCTGTTTAATTAGAAACATGCCGGTCATGCACAAGAGGAGCATGCTTATTTCACCATGCTCTCTGGTTGGCTTTGTCATGTTCTGTGGCCCTTTGGTCTCCAGCCCCCTCTCAACAAACATTAGTCCGACTCCGGTGTGGTGTCCACGTCCAAAAATGGTTGCGGTAGGATGGCCTGAATTTGTAAAAAAAATAAAATAAAAAAAAACAGAACATGTCTTAAAAATCCATTCAGATACATTTGTACATGCCTACAGTTATATGTATAATTGTTATTTTGAAAATTAGTTACGTGTAGTTCAACATTGCATCCCAGCAATATTGGTCCACGGTCAAAAATGGTCACGGTAGGACGGTCCAAATTAAAAAAATTTTTTAACATAACATTTCCTACAAATCCACTCAGATTTGTAGTTACATGTATAATTGTTACACTGACAGTAACTTACGCATAGTTCAACACATGGCATGTCATTAATCAGTTGTAAGTGAAGGTCTACTAGTCTCTTCATAAATATCAATGGAATAGCTCAACTAGTTAGTCATCTGACTTACACTCTAAAGGACACGGGATTGAGTCCAGGCTGGGAAAAGCCAATTGGTAAAGCAAGGCCAGACACAGGAAATATTCTAATTAGTCTAACTATTATTAAATGTAAAAACAACATTTTATTTTACAGTGCAGATGAGATGTACACTGACAGTCATTAAATGTCGAAATGAGACGTGCCGAAAGACGTGTAATTCACGTCCAAAAAAGACGTCGGTTCAACTTTCATTTTGGAACTATTTGTCAACCATGATGGGACGTGTCGACCCGACGTCTTTCCAACGTTGATTAAATGTCCAAATGTTTGCTGGGCTCCAGGTTTTCCTCATAGAAAACTAAAAACAAGTGAAGTGACTGGGGGGAACATGTTCAGCTTATCTAGTTCGTATCTCCTTTAGTGTGTTGTGTTTCCTTCCCCATTTAGGTCATTAGTTTACTTATCTTTAGATCTCCTGTGTCTTAGTTCTACACTGTTTAGGTTTAGTTTAGTTTAATTTAGTTTAGTAGCTTTGTTTTACAGGATTTAGATCTGGTGTTCTCCCCTGCCTGTTTCTGCTCTACCTCTCAGTTTATTAGTCTCACCTGTACCCAATTCCCTTAATCACCCAGCCCATGTGTATATAACCCTGTCTTCTCTCTCAGTGTTTGTTGGGCCATTGTCTTGTAAGTGTTGTTCTAGCTGCCTCCAGTGCTATTGAGTTTTTTGTCACTCCTCCAAGAATAAAGGATTCTTATTTCTGCAACCGCCCATGCCAGTGTAGTTCTGGGTTCTTGCATTTTGGGTCCAAGCCTCAATGTGGCAGGCTGTATATTTAGCAGGAAGTACATTCACTCAAAACACCAAAAGAGGTAGAATTATCCGATAAATATATTTAGTGCTTTTACGGTAGTTGTGTGTATCCTCGAGACTGGGTAAAAAACAGACAAATGGACATGTATAACATATAAACATTTTAAATATAGAGTCCCTGCTCTTATCTGACCCTCAAACTCCTCTTTGAGGAAAGATTAGGATTTAGGAGAACATAAAAAATATTTTCTGCTTTTAAAATCCTTTCTTGTCTTGAGATTTGATAAACAGCTGAGGTTTTTCTACCTTTTCATTTTCTTTTTGACAGTGTATCCTTGTAATGATTGTTTAAAAATTAATAAAGGTGAAAGCAAATATATATATATATATATATTTGTCGCTTTTTCTTGTTTTGTAAGTTAAAGTTTTATGAAAATCCCAGATCTTAAAAAAGAAGACAAACCTAAATTTACGCCATAATTGCTGCACACATAGAGCAAATTCAATGCAAAAGGTGAATTCATTGACGACAACAGGGAACTAATTTCTGGATTTCTACTGGCACAAGGCTGACATTGTAACGTCACAGTTACTTTGCTAGGTAACTAATTACTATGACAATGTGGTAACTGTAACTGAGTTACTAACTCAATGACTTTTTTGAAAAAAGTAATTTGTTACTAATTTTATTATTATTTTGTTTTAAGATGCCCAACAATGGTTGTTGAGAAATAGTTCTCCCTTTGTGTCTGGCCTTTGGTTTAAAAACTAAATCAAATAATCAGAGAGCGACAATTTTGTTCATTTAATAAATGCACTTTGTTGTGGCCACAGAGAACAAGAATGAACTGCATTATTTTTGATGACGGAGCTCTGATAAGACAATGGTTGGTGTTAGACCTCTAAGATTGTATGTTTATGTATTTGCATGCTTTTCTGAAAGATTATTGTTTTAATAACATTTTACAGTTTCCGTGACATGACAGCTAAATTGTCCCAGAAACCCAGTAAACTTTGTAAAGAATAAAAAGTGTCAATTTCCACCATCGAATTGACACAACATAACCTTTCATGCACGCCAGAACTGCAAAGTCAAGGTTACGCCATCTGGAGGATTCAGATGCACAAATCAACCTTTTCAACTGTCAAGGTCTCCCACAAAACCTTACCTCTCTGCTAAAAGTCAGACTGCTGGATTCCTCACTCTGAATAAAAGTGAATCCTCACGAATCCTACAAGGCTGTACAACTTTTGGGTTAAATAATCACATGTGATGAATGAGTAAGATTTTTAAATGAAATGTTTGAATAATCTGTGCTTAAATCAATGCATTTGAAATGAATATTGTTCTTACAAAGATCCATTTTTATCAAAAATCACTGTGTTTGATATAACAAGTTAATCATTGTTTACACTCATACACATCTTCATAAGATACATATTAAGGTTAAGGTTCACCTCACATAAAGTTTAAAGATTCTTTATTCACAGAATTAAGAATCTTGTATCTAAAGGAAGGCATGGCTTTCTGAGGAATGTTTTGGTAAAGCCTTCCAGAGACGACACATTCTGATTTGCCAGAATGGCCGGAAATCATAACATTGTGGTTTATTAAAACAGGATTTACTTCCCGATTAATTAAGTTTCTAGCTGAACCTCGATTCGGCCAAATTGGGAAAGAAGCCTCTTTTGACACAATCCCCTTTGACCTTAAGTCAAAGCCTCTCTGCAACGCTGCGGCTGATACCAGACAACCGGCTCTTCTAAGAGCCAAACAAACATCAACCTTAGATGCAAATAAGCATTCCAGCTTCCGGCTTTCACCTCAAGGTATCTCAGACTGGATGGGTCCTATCGGAACTATCTATGGGTTCCTAAATGGGCTGGTCGTCTCCTAAAAGGCTTTACTGAAAATCCACACAACGAAAACTTACTGCATATTGGTGTAATTAGTTTTCTTGATGTTTTTGCTAATTTAGTAACCTGTAATTCTGGGTGTTGCTTGTCTAGGTGGATGTTTCCTTTCAAGAATGCTTTTATAACTCATTTGCGCTAATTAGTTTCTTTCCAGCTAATCAGCTGAAAGCACCACAGGCTGATTGCTGTCACCCAAACATGCCTACATAGATAGATGATAGCATATCAACAACAAGGGTGACAACTTGCTGGCATGCTACCCCACCCACGAAGGACCTATAAAAGACGGACAGCACTGTTAGGCAGACTCAGACGTATGTTTGTGTCTGTCTCTGCCTCTGCACAGGTTCTGACCAGTTCTTGGCTCTTGGTAAGATCATATTTTACCACCACATTATCTTGTAGATTTCAGACAGAATTTAGAATTTCTATTCTGGTTGTTCATTGCAGACTCTAATTGTTCATTAAGGTGTGGAACACTGAAAAACACTTTTTTGTTGAATATCTTTGATTATAATCGGTCAATCCGAGTTTTTCATGCAGGCTGAAGATGAAAACAGTCTTCTACAGCTATCTCCTGTGTTAGCTTCTGATAGGAAATAGACGGTGACATGCTAGGATTTGAAAATTCTCACATATCTGTGTCACATTGATTTTGCATTCATGGCCTAGCCCATCTTGGCTTGTGCCCACCCACAGGAAAGCTTTTTATTTATTAAATTGCAGCAAGGAGAGAGAGAGTGTCTTAGTGATACGAACTTTGCAACACAGCTGAACGTGTTCTTTTAGCCAATCAGAAGTGAGGTGTATGCATGTCATTAATAATAATGAGTAATATGGCTGTTTCCAGCCCACCTCCGCACCAGGAAAACTTCTGCATCTCAGAACAGGAGCAGCATAGCTTTTTTAAATGACTCATGGGGCATTGATTTACATTAGAGAACACTACAGATGTATTTAATAAACTAGTAAACCACACCTTTAAACAATATTTTGTAAAAAAGAGAATTCAATAGTTAAGATTTTCCTCTTCTGCAGTCTGCAAAACAGCAGGAAAACCAGTTCAGTCTCATTTGCCTATTTACCTATGGTTGTATCACACAGATTCGTGTTTTCATAAGTCACCAACAAGGATAAAAAACTTCACCAGGAGTCACCTTGCACCTCACCGAAGACACCATGAAAGCTGTTGCAGCCTTGTTGCTCCTGCTGAGTTGCTTATCTTACTGTCATGGTAGGTTTTCACCATGATGCATAAAATATTTCAGAATAAAAAAAAAACATGTTTCTGTATTTTTAAGATTTTGCTTCTCAACAGGGTGGACCTGCACAGCCCCCCCACAGCAGCCTTCTGCTGCACAGATTGATGCTGGACAAGGACAAGTGGTGATGACAGACAGCTCGTCAAACGCGTATTTCTTGAGTGGATCAGGTTGGTCCAAACTGGGCACTGTTCCTCTCATTCATGTCACAGCCGGACCTGCAGGAATCTGGGGAGTCGACTCGTCAAATAACATCTACAAGTTTGTAAGAGGAGACTTTGTTTCTGTTGATGGTGAGTCATTTAATAAACAAATGTTACAGTTTAAGCTACACAAAGATAATCTTTTTAAATGTTTGTTGAATTTTTTGTCAGGTTTATTACAGCAGGTGGATGCTGGAGGTAATGAACAGGTAGTGGGAGTGAACAGTGCAGACAAAATTTTCTGCCTGAAAAGTAGCATCACCTTGGCCTATCCACAACCTGGTCCAGTGGCCTGGACACCGTTTGACGGGTTGTTGACGTATTTCAGCTGTGGACCAAACAGATGCTGGGGAGTGAACTCCGCTGATAACATCTATGTCTCTGTAAGCTCCTCTATCTTTACCTCAAGGCAGCATTGTTCTAATCACTGATCATGACCTCTGACTACATGTTATTTTTCCAATAGAACGTGAATCCATCTACCTGTAGTAAGACTAGATGGACACAGGTGCCAGGAGCTGCAAAAATGGCTGAAGTTGGAACTGATGGGAGTGTCTTTGTGGTCAATTCAAATGGTGACGTCTTCCAAAGGTAAATCTGCTTTGAGATATCTTTGTTACTCTATCAGTGTATGAACATTAATCTTACCCAGTAAAACGTGTTCGCCACAAATCCAAAAATACTTTGAGGACTGCTCTATTTAATTGACCACTGCTGTCCCTCCACATCTTCTGTCTCCATAATTGCAGGGGTGTCAAACTCAAACTCACATGGTGCCGTAATGAAACTCTGGGACGGAGTCGAGGGCCAAACTTTATATTTGTTGAAAAAGTGACGGCAAATTTGCACATTTTCTTTATCAACACATATGCAATTTTGAACCTTTAAATTTGGAAACAAACATATTTCTGCATTAACACTGAATGTGGAATAACCAAATTACACACGAGCAAGTCAGTTTTAAATAAAAGGCATCAGTGGTATTCATTAATTGTGGTATAATCAGCATTTTTAAAATCTATTCAGGATTTATGTTTTCTTGTTTATTCATTTTTCTTATTTTTTATTCTCCATTTTTTCTCCTGTAATAAGTGTCATCGCTGCTGTGACATCTAGCTTTCCCCACTGAGGAACAATAAAGGGATTTTCTATTCTATTCATGATGTATTGCTGGATTAAACGGGCCAGATCTTCGTATTTTTCTAACCTTGTGAACATGAACAGGAAAAACCCAAAATTCTTGTTTGACACCATCAGTAAAATTGTTTCACCGCCAGCTTCAATGGTGCCTGTATTTTCTACTGGGGACTGCAACAGATTTTTAAACTTTTTTGTAAAAAAGTTGATGACATTAGGGCTAGTGTTACTCCATCCCCTGTCTTAAATTCTAACATTGGTCACTCAGATAGCGTGTGGTCCTCATTTATTCCTGTTACTGTGGAGGACATAAAAGCTGCTCTGAAAGATGAGGCCTTCTTCCTGCCCATTAGATGTAGTTCCCTCATCACTGCTCTTGGAAGTTTGGGATGTTGTTGGCCCACACATCGCCAAACTTTTTAACATTTCGCTTTCTACTGGGTCAGTTCCAAGCTACTTCAAACAAGCAGCCTTAAACCCTATTTTGAAAAAGCCCAATTTGGACCCATCTGAACCTGGCAACTATAGGCCAATTTCAAAACTCCCTTTTTTGGCTAAATTACTGGAGAAGTTGGTGGCAGGGCAGCTGACTACTTTTCTGGACCTTAATAATGTTTTAGATAAGTTCCAATCAGGCTTTTGTAAGATGCCTTCCACTGAAACAGCTCTTTTAAAGGTATCTAATGATGTACTGATGGCGGCAGACTCTGGCCAATATACTGTACTGGTTTTATTGGATTTGTCTTCAGCTTTTGACACGGTTGACCATAAAATTCTGTTACATCGACTACACAATGACTTAGGATTTTCTGGTACGGTTCTGAAGTGGTTTTCCTTCTATTTAAATAACAGAACATTCTCTGTATGTGTAAACAAGATTAGGTCTGAAGTCACATCATTGCTTCACGGTGTTCCCCAGGACTCGGTCTTTGGCCCTATTTTGTTTCTTTTATATATTTGCCCTCTTGGGGAGATTATCAAAAGCTTTACTAATGTGTCCTACAATTTATATGCGGATGACATTCAACTCTACTGCTCTTTCAAGGACCTAGAGTTTAACAAGCTAGCTGATCTACTTGACTGCATTGAGCGTATTAAGGACTGGCTAGCCAGTAACTGTCTTCAGTTGAACTCAAGCAAGATCAAAACACTGATCATTGCTCCTGAACAGAAAGTGTTTTTAATCAAACAACACCTCGGGTCCCTGAGCTCCTCAGTCCAGACCAGTCTCAGAAACCTTGGTGTTCTTTATGACCAATCCATGTCTTTGAGCTGCCACTCAAAACAATTAGTAAAAAACTGCTTTTATCATTTGCGAAACATTTCCAAATTGAGAGCTTTTACTTCATAATCGGACTTGGAGATGATTATTCATGCTTTTATTTCTTCTCGTTTAGATTATTGTAATTCTATCTTTACTTGTTTTAACAAATCAGATGTCAGTCGTCTCCAGTTGGTCCAGGACGCTGCAGCAAGGCTTTTGACAGGAACCAATTGAAGGGCTCACATAACACCGGTTTTATCTTCTTTACATTGGCTACCGGTCAAGTTTAGAATTGATTTAAAAATTTTAGTTTTGACTTTTAGAGCTCTTAATGGACAAGCTCCACAATATTTATCAGACCTTTTAATCCCTCACTCTTCTGGCCAGACTCTACTGTCCTCGGGTCAAAACCTACTGAAGGTCCCTAAGACCAGATTTAAAACTAGAGGGGACCTGTCCTTTCAAGCTGTAGCTCCCAGACTTTGGAACGCCATGCCCTTGTTTCTTTGTCTGGCCGACTCGGTTGATTATTTCAAAAAGCAGCTGAAAACACTTTTATTTAGACAAGCTTTTATGTAAGTTGACCTTGTGCTCCTGTCCTGTTTTGCCTTTTTATGTTGTGAAGCACTTTGTGATTTTATCTGTGAAAAGTGCTGTATAAATAAAGTTTTACTTACTTAAAGTGAAGACACTTTTGGATTTTTGGATGTGAAACTCTTGAACAATTGCCTCAACCAAATTGGTTTATATATTGATTTATTATGTCTGTTGATTTCCAGTTTTGTATTCATTGCTTGAATGATCTCTTACAGAATCAAAACTGTGTTCATATCTTTTCCTATGATAATTAAAAGCAGTCTAGTAATAAAGTAAAAAGTTTGATTAAAGCCATTTATTTTGACTATAGATGTTGTAGCTGTGATAATCGCCTCTCTTCTGAGTCAGTAGTGACTAAATGTTTGTGAATCAGTACATTCAAATGGAGACCTCTCTCTCTGCTGTTGTATGCTGAAAATAATTTGTTGTATGAACTTGATTCCATCAGGGTTTCATTGTCTTCTCTTTACAGAACTGGCATCACCAGCAGTCTTCCACAAGGAAGAGATTGGGTTCAGATACCGTTTTGTCTGCCCGTCAAACACGTCAGCTATGACCTGGGACACCTGTGGGTTGTGTTTGAGATTGGTTTGATCCTGGATTGTCAGCAGTAACATGTTAGCTGTCCTCACTAAAGTCTTTTCTTCAGTAGTGGCCTTTATATGAGAATATAACCCATTATCTTCTTGGTGTTTTTATAGCTTGACCTCTACCTTTTCTTTTATTCTAACAGTGGTAAGAATTATGGTGGTGAAATAAATCGTTGCTTTAAACAATTAAACAAACATCCCTGTTGGAATGTGACCTAAAAATCCTGTTGGTTTCATGAAAACTAACAATAACATGGTTATTGCTGCCATGCTGTGAACACTTAAAATGCAAACAAAGCATTTAATTACATGAAGTACCAAAACCAATGACCTTTCTAGCAGGATCTATTTAAGCCCCGTTCACATGGCTGGATAATCATGCCAATTCTTGATACAATCCTCCCCTTCCAATAGTCTCAAGGATGAGCAAGATTACAACAATGGTTCTAAAGACTTTCTCATCAGATAATCGTGCCATTTGTGGTTTCTTAAGAGTGCATGGTCTGTTTGTAAGGACATAGGGGCTGCTCCATTCATAAATTTGGGCTTGTTGAATTGTCTTCATCTGATTCCTGCGAACAAACAAGGATGCTACCTGTTTAATTAGAAACATGCCGGTCATGCACAAGAGGAGCATGCTTATTTCACCATGCTCTCTGGTTGGCTGTGTCATGTTCTGTGGCCCTTTGGTCTCCAGCCCCCTCTCAACAAACATTAGTCCGACTCCGGCGTGGTGTCCACGTCCAAAAATGGTTGCGGTAGGACGGCCTGAATTTGTAAAAAAAAAAAAAAAAAAACGAACATGTCTTAAAAATCCATTCAGATACATTTGTACATGCCTACAGTTATATGTATAATTGCTATTTTGGCAGTTAGTTACGTAACTTACGTGTAGTTCAACATAGCATCCCAGCAATATTGGTCCGACGGCAACGTCGTGTTCACAGCCAAAAATGGTCGTGGTAGGACGGTCCATATTAGAAAAAAAATGTAACATAACATTTCCAAAAATCCCCTCAGATTTGTAGTTACATGTATAATTGTTACGCTGACAATAACTTATTTATAGTTCAACACATGGCATGTCATGAATCAGTTGTAAGTGAAAATCCTCTTTTTGTCACTTCATAAATGTCAATGGGATAGCTCAACCGGTTAGTCATCTGACTTACAGTCTAGACGACTCAGGGTTGTGTCCAGGCTGTTATAGGTCAATTGGTAAAGCAAGGTTGGCTACAGGAAATATTCTAATTATTATAATTATTATTAAATGTAAAAACAACATTTTATTTTACAGTGCAGATGAGATGTACACTGACGGTCATTAAACGTCCAAATGAGACGTGCCGAAAAACGTGTAATTCACGTCCAGAAAAGACGTCGATTCAACTTTCATTTTGGAACTATTTGTCAACCATGATGGAACGTGTCGGCCCGACGTCTTTTCAACGTTGATTAAATGTCCTAATATTTGCTGGGCTCCAGGTTTCCCTCATGTGCCCCTAGTCACTTCACTTGTTTTTAGTTTTCTATATGTCTTTTCTGACCCTCAAACTCCTCTTTGAGGAAAGATTAGGATTTAGGAGAATATAAAAAGTATTTTCAGTATTTAAAATCCTTTCATGTCTTGAGATTTGATAAACAGCTGAGTTTTTATTGTCTTTCATTTTCTTTTTGATGGTGTATCCTTTTGATTGTTTAAAAATTAATAAAAGTGAAACCAAAAAATATATATATTTGTCGCTTTTTCTTGCTGATTGGCTGCACCTGACAGTAAGGCGTTTCCTGTTTCCTGTTTTCAGTGTTGCACTACGTGTAGCTGTTTGGTGTTTGGGGCTCGCTAAAACTGATTTAATTTCTCTGTACTTGTCACGGTTTGCCTCCACCTTCTGGTGAGGTGTGTTCAGTTTTGTGTTTCAGGTGGGCGCGGCAGACTGCACAGCTGTTTGAAGTTCCACTAATTGAGGCGCAGAGGATTTAAGGAGCAGCCTGACTCAACTCCAGCGCCGGTCGATACTCTCACATGGGTAGCCTCTAGCCTCTGAATCTGCCTGTTTCCTGATGATCCTGAAAATAATTAATCTGTATCCTGTTTTTGTATCCTGTTCCTTCACCACCTACCTTGCCTGGAGTTGTCCTCACGTCTCGCCGCTTAATGATCCTCTGAACTCCTCTCTCCACATCTGCCCGCCTGCCCACGCTCTGAACCACCACGCGCGGACCAACCTCTCCCTGTTCGCATCCGCTCTTGTCCTGGTGTCTGACCATAAGAACTCTCAGTTACAGACTCTCATAGTACTGGTTCTCTGGTTCTGGCCTCGCTCACCTTCTGTTCTTTATCTCCGTAGATTCCGGTACTCCCCTGTTCCTGATCATAGAAGCAGCGTCTTTAGTTCTAGGTTTATCTTTTGTTTCACGTTGCAAAATAAATCACTTTATATTTTACTCACCTCTCCTCTCCTGTGATTCTTCATGTCCTGGGTGAAAGCCATTACCCAAAACATGACAGAATCGACCGGCCAAACTAACACCCCCATTGAAGAATCACTCCCCGCAGTCCTAGCAAATACATTATCTCAGCATGAAGGATCCATTCGTTCCGCCCTCGATCAATTGTCCCTCATTAACGAGCGTTTATTCCAGCTCGATTCCGCCATCCGTCAGGTTAATGAGAGACTTACACCATCTCCTGCCGCTGTCTCTGTAGCTTCATCGCCGGCTCCACTTCCTGTTCAGCATCACGGGATCGGTTTCCGGGTTATGCAATCACCTCAACCAGAAACATTCGCCGGTGAACCTGAAAAATGCCGTTGTTTTCGTTTACTTTGTGAATTGGCTTTCAATAGATCACCTGATACATTTGTAAATGATGCAGTTAAGGTTTCCTTTATCGTCAGTCTGTTACGTGGTCGAGCCCTACAGTGGGCCGAGGCTAGGAGTCGGCAACCCACCTTCCTTCAGGGACCATTTGCAGCATTCCTAGCTGAGTTTAAACAGATTTTTGATCAATCAGAATCCCCAGCCGAAATCGCCAAACCAATCTGGAGTCTCCAGCAGGGTCGACAGTCGGTGGTAGAATTTGCCATCGATTTTCGTACCCTTGCCTCCCTTTCCACACTAGATGAACCTTCTCTTAGAACCGCTTTTTCTCATGCCCTTAATGATAGGATTAAGGACCAATTGGTGTTTTGCCAAGAACCAGAGAGCCTAGAGTCTCTGGTCCAGTTAGCCGCCAATATTGAAAAACGCCTAAAGGAGAGACACAGGACACATACGCTCAGACCATTTCCTGACTCTGCTCCACAACGACAATGTCAACCTCATCCCTCTCTGGTTCATCCTGAGGAACCTATGCAGATAGGTCGAGCAAGTTTAACCCCTGAGGAGAAGGCTAGACGTCGCTCCTTAGGCCTCTGCCTTCACTGTGGTCAGCCAGGTCACATGCTGCAGGATTGTCCGGTTCAACCAAAAGCCAGGGCCCATCAGTAGGACCGGGATTACTGATGGGTGGAGTTCCTGGAAACCTGAAATCCCGGTGCATCTTAACCTGTTCTGTCTCCTACAACCAACAGACAGTTTCAACCCAGGCGCTAGTGGACTCTGGATGTGAGAGGAGTGTCCTGGACCAAACTGTTGTTCAACAGATCAACATTCCCACCATTCCTCTGTCTACTCCCATACACGCTTCCTCGTTGGATGGCTGTTCTCTCACAACCATAATTCATCGCACTGTTCCTATTACTATGCAAATCTCTGGTAACCATCATGAGACCTTGAGTTTCTATATTTTTCCTTCTCCCCAGTTGTTTTGGGTCATGAGTGGTTAGTGTTACACAACCCACAAATAGACTGAAAAACCGGGTTGGTTTCTGTCTGGAGTCCCTACTGCCTGTCTCAATGTCTCCTTTCAGCTCCTCTTCCAGCCCAGATCACCAATAACTCTCCCCAGGAACCACCTGATCTTACTGGAGTCCCCGCTGAATATCACAACCTGCAGCAAGTGTTCAGTAAAGATCGAGCCTCTTCTCTGCCTCCTCACCGCCCATATGATTGTGGAATTGACCTCATCCCGGATGCCATCTTACCTACCAGTAAGCTATACAGTCTGTCTAAACCCGAACAAACCTGCATGTCTGATTACATTTCAGAATCCCTAAAGTCTGGCATCATACGACCATCTACTTCTCCCCTGGGAGCTGGATTTTTCTTCGTTTCAAAGAAGGATGGTTCGCTCCGCCCCTGCATTGACTACTGTGGTTTAAACCAGATCACCATTAAGAATAAGTATCCTTTGCCTCTGCTTTCTTCCACATTCAAACCTGTTAACGACGCTTCCATTTTCACAAAATTAGATATGCGCAACGCCTACCATCTTGTCAGAATTCGTGAAGGAGACGAATGGAAGACGGCATTCAAGACACCTTTGGGACACTTCGAATACCTTGTAATGCTGTTCGGACTCACCAACGCCCCCGCTGTGTTTCAATCCCTGGTCAACTCCGTGCTGGGTGATTACATCAACAAGTTTGTAACTGTCTACCTGGATGACATCCTCATATTTTCCAAAAACCTAACCGATCATCGTCAACATGTCCGTGCTGTACTCCAGCGTCTTCTTCAGAACCGGCTTTACGTTAAGGCAGAAAAATGTGAGTTTCACCTTCCCTCTGTAAAATTTCTGGGCTTTGTGTTGGAGAATGGAAAACTTAGAACCGATCCCGACAAGATCGCTGCCGTCCTGTCCTGGCCCACTCCAACCACACGTAAGCAGCTCCAGAGGTTCTTAGGATTTGGTAACTTCTATCGCAGATTCATTAGAGACTACAGCCGGATTGCAGTTCCATTAACCCAGCTCACCTCCATCAAGAGACAGTTTCTATGGACCAAGGAGGCTGACCAAATGTTTCTCACTCTAAAGGAGAGATTTGCTCATGCACCCATACTCACTCACCCGGATCCATCTGTTCCATTTACCCTGGAGGTCGACGCCTCCGACACTGGGGTTGGAGCAGTTTTGTCCCAGGTCTCCTCCTCCGACCAGTGTCTTCATCCCTGCGCTTTCTACTCTCGTCGCCTTTCCCCAGCCGAGCAGAACTATGACGTAGGAGATCGGGAACTGTTGGCAGTGAAGCTGGCTTTGGAGGAATGGCGTCACTGGTTGGAAGGAGCAGAGCATCCAATAACCATCTGGACTGATCATAAAAACCTATCCTACTTAAAACAGGCTAAGAGACTTAATCCCCGCCAGTCTCGTTGGTCATTATTCTTTTCTAGATTCAACTTTACCATTTCTTACAGACCCGGTTCAAAGAACGTCAAACCAGACACCCTGTCTCGACAATATGCCTCCGACAGAGAAGTAGAGCCTTCCACCATCCTACCTGCCTCTGCATAGTCGGCTCTATTGCATGGGACATAACCAACAAGGTCCTGGAGGCCCAGCAGCAGGAACCCGATCCAGGTACCGGTCCCCCGAATAAGGTTTTTGTTCCAACCAGCACCCGTGGTGCCCTCATACACTGGGCCCACACCGCCAAGTTTTCTATTCATCCAGGCCTGGGCAGAACCATTTCTCTCATCAGAAGGACATTTTGGTGGCCCTCCATGTACCGTGATGTTAAGGAATATATCAGTGCTTGTCAGGTAAGTGCCAGACACAAATCCAGTAACCAACGTCCTCAGGGTCTCCTCCAGCCTCTGCCTGTTCCCCACCGTCCATGGTCCCATATAGCTCTGGACTTCGTAACTGGTCTCCCCTTGTCTAAAGGATTCACTGTCAGTCTCACCATTGTCGACCGTTTCTCAAAGGCATGTCATCTGGTTCCTCTGAAATCCCTTCCATCTTCCACCGAGACAGCCAACCTACTCGTTAAGCATCTCTTCCGTCTGCATGGATTACCCAGCGAGATCCTCTCTGATCGGGGGCCCCAGTTCATCTCTCGAGTTTGGTCTGACTTCGCTAATCACTTAGGAGCCAAGGTTAGTCTCAACTCCGGTTTTCACCCTCAGACTAACGGGCAGGTGGAGCACATGAATCAGGAACTGGAGGCTATGCTGCGCTGCATCTGTTCCTCCAATCCTGCCGGATGGAGTGCGCAGTTGCCATGGGTGGAATATGGCCATAATTCCCACACCTCGTCATCCAGAGATGAGTCCCCCTTCGAGGTCTCGCTTGGGTACCAACCTCCTCTGTTTCCCTCCGATTCTGCTTCCTCCACCTCAGTCCCTCAGTTTCTGCGCCGAGCCCGCCGCACTTGGACTCAGACCCATGCAGCGCTCCAACGTACTGCGGAGCGCAACCGCCGGATTGCTGACCGCCACAGACGACCTGCGCCCACCTACACTTCGGGTCAGTTGATCTGGCTCTCCTCCCGGGACATCAAGGTGCGTGGATCCTGCCGGAAGTTCTCTCCTCGCTTCCTTGGTCCTTTTCCTGTGGCTGAAGTTCTGGGTCCGGTCTCAGTCCGCTTGGAGTTGCCTCCTTCCATGCGGGTGCATCCGGTCTTCCATGTCTCCCTCCTCAAGCCGGTGGTGTCCAGCCCTCCTGACGCTCCGCCTCCGCCTGTCCGCCTTGCCGACGGGAGTGTCGGTTACCGGGTGCGTCGCATCCTGGATGTTCGGTCACGGGGTCGCGGCTGGCAGTTCCTGGTGGACTGGGAGGGGTACGGTCCTGAACACCGGCAGTGGATTCCTAGTTCCTGGATTGAGGATGCCTCCCTGATCGAGGACTTC